TGTCAGAGAGAGAGAAAGCACAAGCAGGGGGAGAGGCAGGCAGAGAGAGAAGCAGGCTCCTTGCTCAGGAAGGAGCCTGATGCAGGAATCGACCCAGGACCCCAGGGACCATGACCTAAGCTGAAGGCAGATGCTTAACCGACTGAGCCACCCAGGCATCCCATGGGTCCTAGATCTTAAGATTCCCTGATGTTTGGAATCATCTCAAAACTGTTCCCACAAACAACTTAAAAGTGCTGTTTTATATGGTTGTATAACTTAGCGGCATTAATTTATTTCTAAACTTTTAGTTAATATAAGAGAACAAAGACTAACCCGGTTAGCCCTACTTATTTGGTGCTTTATGCCAAACCAGCAGGATTCACTACACAGTCTCCACGCACCTTACCACTGAAATCCACGGGCTTGAACCTCTCCCAGATAGACCCACAAATGGGGATCCCAAAAAACGAGTTTGTACTACCCCAAACATTCTGCTCTAGAGGGGCTGATCCTCTGGATCTTCCAATGATTTCCTTCCAGCTTCCGTTTACTGAAAATATTTTTTCCTAAGCTTCCTATATAGCACCTTTGTTTCTCCTTCTGGGTCTTTTCTGTAGTCCTGAAAATCTGTGCTGTCTAGGTTAAGCAATCTGAAACACTCTGCTTCCTACTGAACATTTCTGTCTATTTCTGCTTCCTTCTCATGACTGGTCTGGATCAATTTTTTGGGGTATCAGGTCAGGTTTCTTCCCACACCAGCTTTGGTTTATCTCTCAGAGCCTTGGTACCCACACCTCCCAGGTCCCAACACCTACTAACTAAAAGATTAAAAGGTTTTCTTTTTCTCATGTTACATATAGGCAACCAACAGTAATAGCAATGAAGTGACCCAAAGTACTAAAGAATAATTGGGATTCGAACCTCAGCATATACTGAAAATCAGGTCCCTCTATAAAATCAAACAATACATATTATAAAAAGAAGAGCTTTTCCTCTCACTGATAAATACTGACTGGCAAAATCTAGACATTTTCCCCTTCTTCTTAGAAAAGTAACCCCTATTTTTTGTAGAAAAATGTACAGAATCATTTTAAACTACCTACTAACACAGAACTTACTTATGGCATATAATGTTAAATGAATAAAACAGGGCACAAAATTCCATTGTTTACATGATCACAACTATGTTAAAAATAGATGCACGTAAAAATACTGGTAGGAATACAGCTAAGTTTAATAGCAGCTGCTTTGGGTGGGCAAAATATAGGGTTGTTTCTCTCTTTTCCAACAGGTTCTAAAATTCCCAATTTTTCTACTGTGAGCATTTATTGCTTCCACAATTTAAAAATATTATTTTTGGGGCACCTGGGTGGCTCAGGTATTGAGCATCTGCCTTTGGCTTAGGTCATGGTCCCAGGGTCCTGGGATCGAGCCCCTTGTCGGACTCCCTGCTCAGCAGGCAGCCTGCTTCTCCCTCTCCCACTACCCCTGCTTGTGTTCCCTCTCTTGCTGTGTCTCTCTCTGTCAAATAAATAAATAAAATCTTTAAAAAGAGTTAAAATTAAAAAATTTTAAAAATAAAAATATTATTTTTTCCAAAAGTCTTATTTTGACATGATATTCTATATGAAATCTTCTCTGGCCCACTCTCTGCCAGCCAGACCTGGAGTAGTAAATGCAGCCTTCCTTCCTGCCCAGAGCTTCAAGGTACTGGGACTTCTCAAGCACAGAACCATGATGTCAACCAGTTCCATCACCACCTCCCCTAATGTCTCTACCTCCCTCCTATCTTGTCCCTTGAGGAAAGTTAAAACATGCTCACATGGTTCTTGTTTTAACCACTCTATCTCACCAATCCTTCATTTTTTCTATCCAAATAGTCCTACAATGTACAGCTGTAGGTAGGTAACTCTCAAGCCATCTTTAGTCCAATGCAGGACATGGCTGATAAATTACTGCAGGAAAATCAACATCAGTCTGAATGTCACTAAATCTGGTCTGACATACACAACTTCACTCACACTCTGGAGTATCACTTGCTAAGAGAGCAGGAGTGTCACCTTCCAGGAGCTTCTGTAATTCACCTGCCACATTGGCACTCTTGATTCGCCAGTCCTCAAGGACAAACTTAACTTTTAACTGCAAATCTTCATTTCTAATGAGGCACAGTTCTATTTTTTTCAAATTCAACCCTTTAAAAGTAGAGTTCACAAGACAGCAACGTATCAAGCCATTCGCAATTTGGCTAGTGCAATGATGGTTTATGCATCTTCATTTGCAGGTGGGATTCCAAGAAGGCAGCTGAAGCTCACCATCCCTCCAAATTCTCACAGCTGTCCCCTTGCTCGTGCTTGATGTTCACTTCCCTTCTCCTTGGCACAGCATTTGCTGGGGCCCACTATTGAGCTTCTATTTCTTAATCCTATTGAGTCCTGCAGACTTGAGCCAGACAGACTCTTTCTGCCTTCTTAATTTCTCTACTGACCCATCTCATCTATGTTCTCTAAATTCATTTCCTCTGAATGCTCTGCCCTCTCTCTCCATTCTACATGCCTTCAATGTTAAGGGAACACACGCTGAGAAGTTCCGGTCTGCACTCTGATAGCACCAATACAGGATCCCAGCCCTTCAGCTGACATTCTCCCCTTTGAGGCTCTTATGGCATCCACAGAGAACAGAGCCATCACTCCTGAACATCCCCTTACTACTCGCTGAGGTGGTTCAGAGGCCCTGGCTTGGGTGAGCTTACCAGCTATTACCCACCCAAGACATCATCCCTGCAATCAACAGTCCTTGGCAGTGTATGAACCAATGGCCAGTAGGATTCCTGATGCTCTGATGGTCAACGATACAGAGGGAACTTCCGGGGCAATAAAAACTAAAGTTATACGTTAATTCCTCAGCCACACAGTCATACATCACACACACAATAGACCTCTGTGGCTACTATTCATGGTGAACAGTACAGCTCTAAAACATGCCCATCGTCACAGCACGTTCTACTGTAACAGCACTGATGTAGTTTACGATAGCACGCTAAACTAACTAATACAAGTCAGCCAAGAAATCAACCTCGATCCCACATTTATCAGTATGTCCTTGGAGACTGAGCAGAATGTAAGCACATATAAAATAACACAACAGTTTGGAAGTGGCCTTGTGGAAAAGCAGTTTCAATTTCCAGACTCCAGCTTATCATCCAACTATTGCTCACTGCTTCCTGTCCCCTTCTGTCCCAGAAGGTTCTTTTAAAATCTACTACCATTTTCTTTGCATAGAGTCAGGTAAGTTTTTTCAATCCTAAAAGTTTAAATGAAGAAAAAAGCCAGTGTTAGCACAAGGAACAATCATTTGTGGCCCTTTTCATAACTCACTGGGGATTAAAGTCATACGAGTTTGTCTCAAATCATTTATTACGATCCTCCTCAGACACAATGATGTTACTGACAAAACACACCGATTAGATCAGGCTACTATATTCTCCTTACCACGGGGCTTCTTACCCAGCAAATGTACCGGTTTGAGAATGGAGTTTTTAAAAGTGAAAATTAAAATCATCCTATGTAATACTTGTAACAGCCGACATCCCCCCCCCTCCTCCAGCAATTTGTCTTGATAAACATTCTTCAAAGCTAACATTCCTGGAAGCATGATGTAATTTGTAGATGAGACATCCTGCATGCTCGAGCAGCAGCTATGCTCCTGGGTTTAATGGCCTCTAAGAGTCATTTAAACTGAGCTGTTTGCTTCCATTTCCCCTTCCTCTTCCCCTCTTCTGGAAGTACATCATTACCCTTACCTTATATAGCAGAAATATTCAAGGTGTGCGAATTGCTTGGCAGAGTCTAAGTTTCTGTTCCAGTTTCAGTGGTAGTACCTCGTCCAAAGAGATCGGGCAGACACCACTGGCTTAGAGCCAGGCTACGGGCAGCACAGCCAACGGCCGCTGACGGTCGTGCTTGCTCCTCACCTTGCTTTATTCTTCATGACTCGCCCCCCACCGCTGGCACTGTCCTGCCCGTGCCTGCCAAATGTGCCAACAACACTCCACCGGCCTCCAGCAAGACCCCTGCGCCGCGAGGCTCCAGGCCTGGCCCCCCTCACTACTAAACTCGCCCTGGGCATCATCTCGGTCTTCCCCCCTTTCACATCAGCCTGAGCACTCCTCTACCACCGCTAATACCACCCCCCTCCCGGCAACACCTAGCACCTAGCTCTGCGCCGGGGCTTTCCACTCAGCCCCAGAGGTCTGCACAGACCACCCAGGGGCCCACAGGAGACATCAGCTGATGGCCCAGGTTATGTATGTCCTCCAGCCTCCAACAGCTTCCTCAGGCTCAAACTCAAAGGGGAACTCTAGGGTCCAGATTAGCCTTCAAGAACCAGCAAGCGGCCAGGGAGACCTGGGGACATGCCCTAGGAAGATGTGAACTAGAATCTGGAGGCAGATGAACATGTCCAGTCCCAGGGAAAAACTACCTTCACTGTGCCATGGGATGTCCTGGTGCCCAGACAACGTCTGGTCCTTCCGCAGGCTCGTCGGCTCAGCTCCAAGGGCCCCGCAACTGGGCATCAAAATGGGACGGTGGTAAGCCTGGGGTTTCAGGGCCAGGCAGAATGGAATTAGGAGTCTCAGTCCCACCACAGGCTGTCTGCCAGGGGCCTCAGTCACTTCACCTGAAACCGAAGCTGGTGTCTACCTCAGAGAAGTTACGAGGTAACTAACACAGGACCAGTCCCAAGCCAGAGTCCGGCTCAGAGCTCAACTGCTCAGGCAAAGCCTTCATTGCTTTGTCTTGGTGTGTTTTTCAAAGGATTATAAGTGGAGCTTCAACCCCTGAACTCAAAGTATTGTAACTGCTGCGGCAACAAAAACGTATCTGCATCGGTTTCGAAAACTAGACAAAGCTCCCAGGAAGGAAGGTTTTATTTTAAAATTTATTTTCTTCTGGTCCTCTCTATACCCAGGACTGGCATACTCTTAGGAGCACAGGGGAAAGCGCTATTTTGGAACATACCCGAATCTAGACTGTCCCGGTCTTCGTGGTCATTCGGTTGAACCACCAAGTTTTCCACACACTGGAAAAGATAAGGTCAGGCAGGGTTTTGACAAAAATTACTCATGTGCCCCAATTCTGTTGATTTTTATCAACTCAGAAAAAACCACCTCAGAGACTATCAGTGAAGACATGTTACATGTCTCGCCGCACATCAACAAAACTAGTCTTGTACTTACTTAACGTTATTCAGGAGCTACAGAAAGGGAAGGACCCGCCCCACGCGGAAGCCCTCCCTAGGTCCTTTCTTCCCAGGACGTCTCCCGAGCGTACTCTTGCAGTCACATTGCTGGCAAACATTTGTAGCTACCCATCTTTAAGGAAAAACTTGGTTTTGGAAAATGTATATAATCATCTTGAATATACAACTGCAACCCAGAAAGACAGCCAGCTTTGGTCATGAAGAGTAGAGACTGAAAATGCAATAAAGCCAACTGAATTTCAAGTTATTCTGAATGTGACATGGGGTACACATGGAGGTTTGTTTTTGTGTTTTTTTGGGCGGGGGATAAATTTGTTATTACCACTAGATCTTCACTTCTACTTCAGCTCTGGGGAAAAGTGCAAAAAAGAAAGAGGGGCAAAGAATCATTACCTTTACATCCTCCTTTTCAGGTGATGATCCGCTGGTCACCAAATTCTTAATCTCTGCAAAAGGAATGATCCTCATCAGGATCTGCTGATAGGAGCTTTCATTAAAAAAAAAAAGAAAGGAAAGAAGGGAAGGGAAGGGAAGGGAAGGGAAGGGAAAGGAAGGGAAGGGAAGGGAAGGGAGGAAGGAAGAAAGAAAGAAAGAAAGAAAACCCAAAAAGCAGGCAACAAATATAAATGAATTGCCCCAGGAGCTGTCTGTGTGGAGCTAGCCTAGATTAGGCTTCTTAAAAATCAACTGTCCACAGAGTATGTGATGGTCCAACTGCCACACTCTGGTAATATTTGTGTGGACCAAGAGGTAAACAAGCCCAGGACCTCTTGCAGGAAATCCTGAGGAAAAAAAAACCATCATTAAATCAACAAATGCCCCTGATTCAGAAGGCAGGCTGCTCACAGAACGAAGGCTCTTCAAAATAGCCGAGATTCTAAAGACATGACTAGTACCTACCTAAGGATATCTCACATGTCTAGTTCCTTAAATACCACAGACTTCATGTTTCAAAAGCGCGTAATTCATTCCAGATGAGGTTCTGCCTTTCCTTGGGCATCCTTGAAAGTCCGTAACACCAGCACAACCCTTGGGCTCCCACCACAGATGGTGCCAGGCTGAGCATGGACAGGCCCCAGGCACGCCAGGTACCCTTTTTCTGAATAAACCTTTCCTGGAAATATTAGTGGTCAGGATGTTCTAAGTTAAACATTTAAGGGGTATTTTCCTCTGGGTCTTGACTGGTTCTCTTCCCACTCAGTTGCCCGTAAACAAGAGCCACTATTGTTAATATATAACCACCAAAAGCAGACTTGGGCCTGGGGAAAATAAGCGATGGACACTCCTAGCAAGGGCAGGTAGTTAAGAAACTTCAGCAACAATGTAGGAATATACACTCTTGTGGGCCCAAGGCCTCCTCTGGACTCCCTCAGCTGCCCTGCCTGATGCCGATTCTGGGGAAACCCCACTAGTTTACCTAGACAGTCCTCGCTCCACTTTGCCAGCCCATTAACTGAAGTCACCGGAGGCTTCACACCTCCAGGTGGATTTATTCAAGCTCCTCTTATTGCCAGGCACGGAAGCTAGGAGGTTCATTCATGTTCTGGCTTAGAAAAAGTATAAGGTACTTTCCTGACAAATCAGAGTAAGGCAAGGATAGAGCAGAGAAGTCAACTTCCTCACTGTCCTGATGGGCTTTTTAAAATATGCGTAATAGGGGCGCCTGGGTGGCTCAGTTGGTTAAGCGACTGCCTTCAGCTCAGGTCATGATCCTGGAGTCCCGGGATGGAGTCCCGCATCGGGCTCCCTGCTCAGCGGGGAGTCTGCTTCTCCCTCTGACCCTCCCCCCTCTCATGTGCTCTCTCTCTCTCTCATTCTCTCTCTCAAATAAATAAATAAATAAAATCTTTAAAAAAAAAAAAAGACAAATACAAACACATATCTAGGGGCACCTGGGTGGCTCAGTTGGTTGGGTGGCCAACTCTTGATTTCAGCTCAATTCCTGACCTCAGGGTCGTGAGATCCAGCCCCATGGCAGGCTCCATGCTCAGCAGGGATTCTGCTTTAGGATTCTTTCTCTCTCCTCTCCTCTGCCCCTCCCCCACCCACATGCTTACTCTCTCTCTAAAATAAATAAGTTTTTAAAAAAGAAAATAAGGTTGCCTGGGTGGCTCAGTTGGTTAAGCGACTGCCTTCGGCTCAGGTCATGATCCTGGAGTCCCGGGATCGAGTCCCGCATCGGGCTCCCTGCTCGGCAGGGAGTCTGCTTCTCCCTCTGACCCTCCCCCCTCTCATGTGCTCTCTCTCATTCTCTCTCTCTCAAATAAATAAATAAAATCTTTTAAAAATAAATAAATAAATAAATAAAATAAAATATGCGTAATAGAAACTTTGCATTTACTAACAATTAATGAGATATTTATACTCCACAGTAGTTTAGTCTCTTGACTCCATAATCCCTCTTGGCCCCATAGTTTAAAATGAAGCGATAATACCTTCAGTTTCACGTGGTCATGTCAACTGACATCAACAGGGGTCAAGGACGCGCGGACACCCAGCCTGGGCGGCTTTTGCTCTCTGGCACCCCCAACCTACCTTTAAATGCACAACCCCCACGGGGCCTCCAGGTGGCAGCACGGTAACGTCTGCACAACAACACGGTCGGCCCTGGGAATGCCAAGGTGAGCCGGCTTCGCCCTTCAAAAGCTGGCTGCTCAAGTGCCCAAATCCAAAACCCTAACATAAAGCTTTCTGCCCCAGTGCACAGACGCAGAAAGTGATGGGCAGCACCTATAGAAACTACGACGGATTTTGTTTTGAAACACACAAGCCCGGACTCTCAAAGTTGGCGACGTGGGCGAAAGAGCACCATTTGCTGAAGGAAGGGAGGGTAACGAGAACCCAAGTTTCATAGACACTTCTGCCTAGATATCAAGAGAGTCGCACACGTTTTTATGTTGTTATTGTAAAATATTCCTTTAAAACGGTTTCAGACCGTACGCTCTCGAATTTAGGATTCTGCATTTCTTTCTTTCTTTCTTTTTTTTTTTTTTAAGATTTTATTTATTTATTTGAGTGAGAGAGAAAGAGCACAAGAGGGGGAGCGGGAGAGGGAGAAGCAGACCCCCCGCCGAGCAGGGAGCCCGATGCAGGACTCGATCCCGGGACTCCAGGATCATGACCTGAGCCGAAGGCAGTTGCTCAACCAACTGAGCCACCCAGGCGCCCCAGCGGAATCTTTTTTTTTTTTTAAGATTTTATTTATTTGCGCGCGAGAGAATGAGAGACAGAGAGCATGAGAGGGGGGAGGGTCAGAGGGAGAAGCAGACTCCCTGCCGAGCAGGGAGCCCTATGCGGGACTCGATCCCGGGACTCCAGGACCATGACCTGAGCCGAAGGCAGTCGCTTAACCAACTGAGCCACCCAGGCGCCCTAGGATTCTGCATTTCTAAAGAATTATGTACCTAGGGTGGTTGATGAAAAGGAATAGCACGCATTTTGTTCAAGATCGTACTAATGCAGAAGGCCACAGCATCTGAGAAAACCCAGCTTGCAGTAACAGAAGCTGGGTCATCATGGTGAGTGTGTTCAGATTCCAGCTTCCTGCCACTCTCAAAATTTCACTGTTTGCACACCGTCAGCCTACAGTTTTCCTTATTATCTACTGCATTTTTCTTTTGTTTCAGGTATAATCTAATTAATGCCACTACCACAAACTTTATTAAAAGAGACAAGTGTTTATAAAATTTGTACTTCATCAGTTTAAAAATAGCTTCCAGGGCGCCTGGGTGGCTCAGTTGGTTAAGCGACTGCCTTCGGCTCAGGTCATGGTCCTGGAGTCCCGGGATCAAGTCCCGCATCGGGCTCCCTGCTCAGCAGGGAGTCTGCTTCTCCCTCTGACCCTCCCCCCTCTCATGTGCTCTCTCCCTCTCATTCTCTCTGTCTCAAATAAATAAATAAAATCTTAAAAAATAAATAAATAAATAAATAAAATAAATAAAATAAAAATAGCTTCCAAAGTTATAAAATCTTTATGCAAACATTATTAAAAATATTTGTGACAGTGTATAGATTCAGAATAATAACGTATCTTTACGGGGTGCCTGGGTGGCTCAGTCGGTTAAGTGGCTGCCTTCGGCTCAGGTCATGATCCCAAGGTCCTGGGATCGAGCCCCGCATCGGGGCCCCGCTCAGCGGGAAGCCTGCTTCTCCCTCTCCCACTCCCCCTACTTGTGTTCCCTCTCTCCTGTCTCTCTGTCAGATAAATAAATAAAATCTTAAAAAAAAAAAAAAACAACTGTTTAAAAAGAATAATAACGTATCTTTAATTAATCTGGGACAATACACAGCTACATCCTAGAGCTTCTGAAGAATTTGGCACTCATTCGACCGGAGTTTAATCAAATTGCTCCAGGAGAGTTTCTGCTAAATGACTAGGGTCCTTTTACACTCACTCCTCTGTAACACCAATGGCATAGTGTGATCAAACCACACATTGCCATGGCAACCTGCAGCGGATAATGATATCAGTAACTTTTAAAGGCCTATTAATCTTGCCTGCACGGCCCACGCAGAAGGATTATCCCCTCTAAATCCGATTTACCAAACTTAATAAACATGTTCTCTTATTGCCAAACTATAATGGAACAATAAACAATCTCTAATATTCATGTTCACCAGCGACACCGTACCAGCAAACAGGGTTTTCAAACAACAGGGTTAGGCAGCTCTAAGATGACTACCAGTGTTTTGTTAAGAAACAAATTAGCCTAATAGATCTCAACTCTGTGTTAAGTCTTATTGCCCCCTTTTGAAAAATGGGACCACAGAGGCTGCACTTAGGCAAAGCAAAAGCTTACACTGAAAATACAGGACGATCAGTATTCTCCTTTAACTACCCTTTGCTGTGTCATCTGACTCCTCCCAGGAAGGAGGCAAAAAAAAAAAAAAAAAAAAAAATCATGATCAGAGCCAGCCAGACAACTACTGCTGCTTCATTCTTGGTTCAGGTTCAACTGTCCACAATCAAGTTCACAACTGGGTTAGATTGGCAGGGCATCATCACAAGTACAACTGAAAAACGAGGGTCATGCTCTCAGCTCACGCTGCCTCCCCCACAAAGGCCCAAAGTAGAGTGGTGCAGAGTCTTTGAATGGATCCTCTTCTCTCAACAGACTGAGTTCTGGGAAGGCCGGGTCCAAATTGATTTTGGCCCAACCCTTGAATCCCCAGTGCCAAGCGAGTGCCTGTCCTGTTAAAGGCACTGAATAAATGCTTCTCTCCTCCACCTCAATCTGGTGGCCCAAAATAGCTGACGAGATGTACTGGATCATTAGGCAAGCTCTAGGTCAGGACAGGGAAGGGGAAGTTGTTCACTTTTTTGAAATACTAATTGAAACACTTTGAATACCAGCACTGTTTATCATAACTTCTGAACTGCCAGATTGAGCAGACAGATGAGTGCTTTTCCCTTTGCTTCCTCCCACCCCTCTAGCTAAGCCCCAAA